TGCACTAAAGCGAAATTAAAAATGAACTCATAACCTGTTTTTGCCTCTTGCATTTAAAGACTTTAATCTTGTAGTACTTTTGTCCATTAAAGTGAGTCGCTCCGCCGGACATTTCTTGCAGTGCGCGCAGCGAGGTGACAGCTCCGGACTGGGAGTGCGCGCTTTAACTCCCCACGTGGGTCTGTGGACATAAGCGCTGCAGCTCGGAGAGGAAGCCCGCGGTCACAAGAGCCAGATATAAATACTTTATTCCTGGGGAAATTGGGAGTCAAATAAATTCCACCCGGAGCCACATCAATGATGGTGTCGTAAAAAAATTTGACAGTCCAAAAGGCGACTGTTAACTCTGGCCAGTCGGGCTAAAAACGAAAACGGTAAACATCAGTACACGCTTGACCCGGGCTCTAACCAAATACGACTATTGGCTGTTTTTCCACCAAAAAACATGATGTAAAACAGAGGACATAGTGTTTTAATTAAGAGCGACCGCTTTTCCATACATTTTTAGACGGGGTTGCCCTCTTCTACGCACGAGCTGCCCACAGTGAACCGCTGAAAGTTCATGTGGAGCAGAAGAGGAGAGCACTGATTCAAACTGGTCACCTACACAACCCAGAAACAAACTCCACTGTGTCAACAGCTGCAGGGCTTTTAGAATTGACTGAAGAATGAGCTGTGCAAACAGACAGATTTTGCAATCAGGTTCCCAAAGAGCAGAACTGCAAGAAAAATCCACCGTAAAACCCATTTCCATATGAGAAAAAGAGGTCAAATAGTTCGATTTAAAAGAAGTTGAAATAATCTTCCAGCTGTGATTTAAACTTAACTGAGAAGTCTGAAGACCTTTGGTAAAAATCACACTTGTTCGCTTTAAATAGCACCAAAAAACGATGGATCTTTTGGTAGATTGTGCTCAAATTCTTAAGATAAATGTGAGTTAAACACAATTTTGTGTGTTAAGACAGATTTCTTTGCAGTGCCGAACCCTGAGTCAACAAGAAATGCGGAAAAAGATAACAAGAGTCCACGCGTTTAAACACTGAGCAAAGTGCATTTGGCAATACCTCCTTAATAAGCAGGTTCTAATGCTGAACACACCCGGCTAAAAGGCACTACGGTGTCCGGGAGGGTTACCTGTGTCATCATGCGGTCTGCACCTGTGTTCTCCTCATCCTTGAAGATGATGTCGGGGTTGTAGTTCGGGGTGAGCTCCTTGAAGCGCTCAGAGTTCCGGGTTATTTTCCCTTCGTATCTCCCGCTGGCCCCTAAAGTCTTCTCGGCCACGTTCGGGCTGAATTGCTTGTAGGCGAGCGGCACGAGCTTCCGCGGTGACCGCCTCTTGCCATGTCCTCTGCCCGGTCCGCAACCCTCGCTGACCGGAGAGAGGAGAAAGGCGCACCCGGCGAGGCACGTCACCAGCTTCGGGAGCAGCATTCCGCCCCCCGGGGCCGGTATGTTACCCCCGGGCGGGTGGCCAAAATGTCCCCGCTGTATTTCTTTTGATGAGGGTCCTCCCGCGTGGGTTCCCCTTTTTAATTTTAGTGTGGAGGTAACGGAGCAGGACTCATTCCCGGGTCCCCAAAAGTGGCCATTCCCGGCGCGTAAAAGTGGCCAGTGCGCCGCTCGAGACGAGCTGGAAAGACCTGAACCTGTCCTCTAAGCTGCGGACACTCTCCTGTCCCGAGTGCACGCGGAGGCAGGGGCATAAATAGGCAAGGTGAGTTTATTTTGGCAGACTGGTTCAAAGCTGGCTCTCTGTGTCGAAGCTGTGAGAAAAGCGCTACAGACAGACACGGAGGCGCGCGGTGCGTAGACTGGCTGCGCCTGTTGGGCACGGCGGTCAAAGGGTGTCCCCGCAGCGGTTTCTGCCTCTCGGGTTTGTTCTCAATGCGTCCCTGTGGCGCAGGGCTGTTGGCAGAAATGGAAATGGAAGAGATCCTACTACAGTACAGATGAGGTGCCGCGGGAGAAGAAGAAGACCGCGCCCTGCTGGACCTGCCCTCTGCTCCGTCCTCTCCTCCCATCTGGGTGGCACAGGCCCCGCGGCCGCCTTCATCTGTTTATTGTCAGCCGGGGTTTCAGCCAAGAGGACAGACAAACACGGAGCCACGAGACTGTCCCGCGCGCTCACGCTGTCCTTTGGACCCTCTTCTTCAAGTTAAGGAGCGCAGGTGCGCGCGTCAAGACCTGCGCTCCAAACTTTCTCACCCCTCCTCTGTAAGAATTGAGACTCCATACAGAGTGACATAACAGTCTGTGCTGTAGGTGAGGAAATAACAACACTCTGACCGCCGGTTTCTCACCGTACAGGCGCCTTAAAGTGACGTCAAAATATCCCTCAAGGACCCCAACTAGGAAAAAACACAACCAAACATTTCAGTGTTCAAATTCACTACTTGCTTTTCAATCTCTATGATTCTAGAGATTTCCTACATTTCCCAGAACTCCCTTTAACAACCTGCAGAGGACATGTAGGCACAAAGAGCAACTGGGACACATGAGGACAGATATTTCTTTAAGTAGAGAAAAAGGTGAGGTCTATTCCTGCTGCGCCTGCCTCAGATCTCTCTCTGTTCTCTGTTCAGCACCTGTGCAGAGACAGACACATGAGAAAGGGCTGGGTGATATACAGTGTGAGGTCGTCCTTGCACTCAGGGATCCCAATTTCAGTTTAAACATTTTACAAGATAGTTCGCTGGACAAAAGCGACAATCCCATCTGGTTATTTTAACTTCTGGAAATCTTACGCTTTCACTAAATATAAACGGGTGAAGACTGACGTCAACGTCAGTGTTCAACACAACAAATGCACAACATCTTTCTAATCGCTATTTTCACAGCAGGAATTTCCCAGGTTTCTTTGCCTGCACTTCAACCTAAAGTAATCTGGGTCTAGATTTAATTCCCGCCCCAAAAGATCCCTGTCGCTTAGTTAGCTTTCCAGTGGTGTGAAGGTGCTGAACGCCACCTTTGGCTGATGTGCAGCTCATGTGTTTGTTGCATCCAGTAAAACAGAAATGTCTGACAAATCAAACCTCATCCAGCGGTAAATTGGATCCACTGAACATAAACAATATTTAAATGTTGGAAACTGGCAATTACAGTGACTCTGATAGTACATGAATGCAGCATTAGATGGACTAAAGGTTCCTGGGGGTTTCGGTTGAAAGGGGTGTTTCTGAGACACCGGTATATTAGTCTTCCACTATAAAATGCCACATACTATAACAGAGTTTTATTTTGTTGTTGCTCTGAGATCAGCTGTGGATAACGGAGCGACTGGCTGCAGTGACTTATGTCAGGGGAAAGGTCCGGTTTCACCAACAGAGACACGACACCCAACACCCTGCGGCTGAGCCCGCTGAGCCCTCTGCTGATGTCACACTGGAGGCCAAACAGGGGCCCTTTGGTTTTCAGAAATTAGGAGTGGATACTTGAATGTTCTTTTTTTCTTTGAGAAAAGCAGAATCGAATGAGGATGAAAAGTGTCGTCTGCTGGGATCGATCGTGTTCTCGATTAATGGTCTGCTCTATAAAACATTATAAAACTTCCATAACAATATCGTGAAGTACGTTTAAGCGTCTTGTTTTGTTTGACAAACCTAAAAATATTCAGTTTCCAGTAATATGAGACCAAGAAAAGCAGCAAACTCTCACATTTAAGAGCATTTTCTTTCAATCGACTAACTGATTCATCGCTTGCAGATCTAGTGGCACAATCACAACTTAGTAAATGGAAAAAGCATCCGGACATAGATGCTCATTAAATTTCATACTGCTGGTTAGATGGTAAACAGTCGAGTTTAGAAGCAGCAATTCTTAATAACTGGGATTTTCTTAAAAATTGTTGGTACTTGGTAACCAAAGCTCATCCTTCACAGCTAAACGTGAATTTTATATCAGGAAAACGAACTTCAGAGTTTCTCAGAGAAGATAACCGACACAGCAGACAGACGTCCCCCGAAAAAGACAAGCAGGTCAGAAAATTTTCTTACAACAGGAGGAAAATCTAAATCGCCCTTTCTTAAGAACGGAGTCTATTGTTTTAGGTACACTTGCATACAGTCAGGGATTTCTGTAGGCATACTGTCAGGTGTATAATTAATCAATTACACCATTCAGTCATTCACTGAAACAGCTGGAAAACAGTACAAGAGTGTCTGCAGGCAACAGTGAAGCATGTTTAGAGCTGCATTTCTGCAGAGTTGGGGATTTGGTCAGAATGAATGGTCTCCTCAATGTTGAGAAGATACTTATTAATCATGCAGTACCATCAGGGAGGCATCTGATTGGCCCTAAATTTATTCTGCGACACGACAAAGACCCCAAACACACAGCAAAAGTCATTAAGAACTATTGTGAGCGTAAAGAAGAAAAAGGAGTCCTGGTAGTGGTGGTGTGGCGCCCCCGGATCTGTAAACCTGTCTATTTTGGAAAGCACATCCGTCTAAAACCTTGGCACAGTATTTTTATCTTCTATCTTTCCAGTTAACATGCGCCACTTCACCGTTTGTCACACAGAAACTCTTGAAATCCTGCAGGCAAACAGTGACTTTTCAACTAAAACTTCAATAGCATTCCCGAGATGCTGCAACACCTTGAGTCAACATCTCACTATGCTCTGAAAAAGGAGAGCGGCTGCTCTATCGACCGCCGTCAGTCATTATTCTCCCTCACAGCCTGTCTGAGCTCAGGAGGACAGACATGACTTCAAAGCGAATCTTTGGACACAAACACAGACGATTATGTGGTTTTAAAACAAAAGAAAAAAAGACGTGGATGCTTGCAAACAATCAGAAAACGTTATTTTCTTGACTAAATTTGAAGTCGCGGCATTCAAAAACATCAAATAAGTAATTTTTCCTCAACGCCAGAAAGGCAGAAACGTGTTCAGTTTGTGGCGGGTTTGAGTTTTAGAGTTTACCTCTCCTCTTTAAAAAGTGTTTATTTCGATCATTTTCTGTGATTGATTTTGTAAATAACGGACAAAAACAGCCATCAAAGTGATATTTACATCTTTATTCGACAGCTTGCTTGATTTCTCTAGAACCCCACAAAATTCAGACTTTAAAAAAAAAATCTAAAAGTCTAAAATCTAAACCCAATTAAAACCAGCTTAAGTCTCTCAAACTATAAAATTGTCCGTGATCAAAGTTTAAAAATAAGACACGGGTTTAAAGCCCATATTTCATCGAATTAGGGATTAAAAACAGCACTTTTTCTAACGAAGTTCTGAATTGGCATCTGTGTGTGCGTCCTACTGCTCGGACTCATCTGAACAGTCCGACTTTCTTCTTCTTTGGTTTGTTGGACGTTCGCTCAGCAGGTTCGGACGTGACCGGTAGAGACTGTAGAGGAGAAAAAAAGGAGAGGAAGGATAATTGTGTTTATCGTCTTTTGCATTCCTTTACAATCTTCTTGCCCTTCACCTTCAATCTCATATCTTTCATATCATTGTAAAAATATCCTTTTCTAAACAAATAATCATGTAAGCATTTAAACTATTAAAACTTTTTAACAATATATTTAGAGGAAACTCTGTTTGTAAACTTTAACACTAAAATTTCTTCACTAGAAATTTAAGAGTTTAAAAAATGTTAAGCTACATAACATGAGAGAGGTTTATTAACAGTAAAGTAGTAAAGGCACTGTATAAAATCTACTAAATTGTTATTCATAGTAGTAGTTCTTAATATTTCAATGCATGTTTAAGGCCGTCTTCTTGTGATGGTACTGTGTATCCTGTCTGTCTAATTTGCTTAATCACTTTTTATTCCTCCTGTTAAAAGCAATTAAATGTGAAAATAACCTAAATATTTCATTCTACAGTCAGTGCATGGTGTTACTGATAATTAAACCACGTCAGTTATTTGTAATTTTTTTTTTCTTCAGTAAAACAAATGTCCGGTGTCGTCTCCCAGAGTCGTACCTGTTTGGGTCTGTCGGCCATCTTGGCTCCGGCTGCGTCCGCTCTGTCCTCACCTGCTTCACTGCTGACAGATCCACCTGCAGGACGAGGACACAGACGCTCAAAAAAAGTGTGAATTAAACATTTCCTCAAATTAAGAATGCGGAGAAATATGTTAGGATGTATTATATTCTTTCAACGTGTTAGTATTAACAGACGCACAGGCGGAAAAAATTATTTGTTCTCGGCTGTTTCTTGGTTAAAATAGACATTTGTTTTTTTAAATAGTTGCTTTTCTCAGTTTTATATTACCGTTAATGAAAAACCTTGGATTTACTTGAAAAGATCTACAGATTAATGGCAGTGGAATTGAAAAGTAATGACGAGCTGCAGCGCAGAGAAGATGTGTTTGACTGTTTGAAAGTCACTGAACCGCTGAACTCTTTAACTAAACAGCAACACACATTTTAAACTGAGCTCCTGATGCGTTTGGATTAGTTGAGTGTGGAATTAGTTTTATTAAGTGTCAGACGGCTGGCCGAACACCACAACGTGGCTCTTTGATGAACATTTTGATTGGGATGTTGAATTCAAAAGTAAGACTAATAGTTAAGATCTGTCTGTTCTAGTAGCGAATCAAAACAAACACGGTTTCCACTGATCAAAAACTGGAGCATCCTAAAATTTTTGGGTGATATCATTTTAACTGCGAAGCTTTAAGTCGTCGGCGGGGAGCTTTCCAGACCGAGAGACGAGGTGAGGTCTGGTTCTTCAGTGGGCGGCTGGTCCTCCTCGACAGGGCGCTCCTCGGACAGTTTGCGTTTCCTTGTGCCTGCGTTGCCGTGGGCGACGATGGCCGCGTACAGCTGCTGGAGGTCGGCATTGAAGCCCAATGCGTCCTGCTGTTCAGAGCGCAGCAGAGGAAGAGTCTGAGGGGAAGAGAAACAGACACGTTTAGGTCTTAATTTCTTCTTTTTGACCAAGAAATACAAGCAGTCAGGTGGTCAGATTCATGTCATCCCACATGTTGGATGTGAATTTGATAAGTGCTATGTTTTCGTTACGGACAGAAAAAGGCGGCTATTAAAGGTCCAGTCTGGACAAAATGGGACTCAACCAATGGAAATCTGTTGTGCCCGAGTCCTGCTAATTCACATCCAGGATGGAGCGATCAGCAGGCGGACCGTGCTCCGAGCTGAGAGGAGGTGGACTCTGTGTTTTACATCGATGATGCTTGGTGCTCAAACACAGTAAAAATAGACTCTTTTCCCCAAATTTCTGACTTTTTTTAATGTAAAGATGAAACTATATTATCATCATCTGGTTGCTGCTGTTTACATCCTCCCCAAATGCAAATATAAAAAAATGCACTGCAAAATGTTCTGGGTGTAAATATCTGTATATATGGTTTTATTTCATATTTATTAATATACACTTGTTAAGTTCTGTGAGTGCATGAAGGAACTACAAACTTTCATTTCATTATACAACCTTGTGCAGTTTAATGACAAATAAACAACCTCGCAAATGAAGGTAAAACGAGAGCCAGGTTTTAATAAACCAAGTCTTTCCTTTCGCTCTATGATCTGGAGGAAGTTACCCACACTATAATTTCCCCTGTATGTTAGTATTCATGTGCACTGAGGTCTGAATTTCTTTGCGTTTAAGGTTTTAGTGGACCTGCTCAGTTCTGCAGCGCTGAAGCCAAATCAAGAAAGATTCAAAAGAAACAATCAGGTGCATGAACTTAAAACATGAAAGTGCCCTTTCGACACAGCTCGGTGCTTCAGGGTATGTTTGTTTTATGGCCCTGCAGTGGGAGTCACATGTGTGAGGTGTGATGCAGGGTGTGTCGGGGCTGTGATAAGCCTCTAATCAAAGCTGCATTATTGGCACAGCTGAGCGCAGGTAGAGACGCGAGCGGGAACAACCGAGACGCACACACAGGCTCTGTCAACCGCAAGCCCGATAAGGGCGAGTGTAAACTCCTGCGACATTATGCAAGCTCACAGCCGGCGTGTAGAAAAACACTGGCTATTCACTAAATCCTTTTTCCCCCGATGGAGAGGACAAACTCTCCAAATTAGCTCCTCAAATATTGACCGGGAGAAATTGGTGGTCTCCCGCTCGCTGTCAGGGCAGAGGGGCTCCTAAACACACTTTGGTCAGGTTTAGAGGTTTTGCATTGATTTATTTTTGTTATTTGTTTGTTTAAATATCATAAAAATAAATGTAAATGCTCTGGTGAGGGTTAGTTCTGCTTTGGGCACAGAGAAACCAATGTGCTGGGGAGGGGGAGAGAAAGCAGCAGAAAGCCCACCTTATTCTCTCTTTTTATTCAAAGTGGCTGCAGTGCAAAGTGCACGTGGAAAATAAATTGGAGGGTGGTGATTAATAAAAACACTCTCAGCAAATCAAGTCACTGGACTCAAGGCTTTGAAACAGCTGAGCCAATCACAGACAGGCGTGACAACAGCAGCTCAACAAATGGAAAGACGCTCCTTCAGGAAGTCATGTTGGCGTGCGTGGGTTTGTTTTACAGTCAATTAGCACAGTGAGGATGGAAATTATTAATTTGTGCCACCTGTTTGAACCTCCCCTCCCACCGGACCAAAACACACACAGACTGGCTGAGTGAAATTCAAGGTCAGGAAAATACTGATCACAACAAAAGGTCAGGGCGCTGCCTGCGTTGGATGGTGAGCAGCCAAGAAAATAAGCCCCACCAAGTCAAAACTAAGAGAGCAGAAATGCTGTTCCAAACATCTATGTATTTTAGTAAACGTACAACCCGGCGGCGTTTGTTATCAGCTGCTGTTGACCAGAAAGGAAACGCCAGACGAGGAATAAAAAAAAAAAAAAAGAGATTACAGGAGGTCAATAACCTCATTTGTCGAGTCATGTTCTGGAAAGAACCAGAACAAAGTCCTCCAACAAGGGAGGACAAAGAAGAGCGCTCACCTGGTGGCCACACCTCCAAACAACACCCCCATACGCCACAGCAAAGCATCATGTGTGGCAGGAAGAGGAAGTTGGCAGCGTGTTGGTGTTTCTCTATCATTAGCAGGTAAACAGCTCTGATTTGAGACCCGCTGCTGCTGCTGCTGCTGCTGTTTTTCAGGTGGGGGGTTCAGGTGCCAGAGAGTCTCCCTCTCCCTCATCCCTGCTGCCGACCTCGTGTTTACTCTCCCTCATTCCTCTCGACGTGACCTCAGCAGCTTCCCGTCCCCGATCCCAGAGTGATGCGTCGCTCTCCGTTTGACACCCCAAAGAAAAAAAACTGGAGGATTCGACAGTTCAGCGACGAGTGAAGAGACGCAGGCGCAGAGAGTGAACAGGAGAGAGGCTGAGATCAGATCTGGAGCACACAGATACACGTACTGTATTCAGCTGCAACAAACAAAAAGCTCTGACTGTTAGGGATGCACCGAAATGAAAAGTCTTGGCCGAAGCTGAAACCAGATATAATGAAAAAATATGCTGAACACCGAACAAGTACCTTTTCTTACCATTGCACAAATTAAGTGAATTTTAAGTGAATAGAGACTATGGTGGCCCGAGAGGGTCCAGTAAAGTACATGAGTCTATTTACTTTTAATGAAGACTTCCCAGCCTCTCTTCAGGTAGGACTCTCACACGGCAACACTTGTCTTTATAAAGAGAGAAAATGACGGGATAAAGTCTCTAACCTGCCTGTCAGCTCGCACTGGTCCGTTTCAGTGGATTTACCATAAAGGCTTGAATACGTGTGCACTCCAAATGTAGGTGCGGCTAGTTTAACCGCCTTCTCACAAACGAGTGACAGAAACACTCGAGGCGGTTATTTTCTAAGAAGTCAGCCACAGATGGCGTCTTTCTCTGACACTTTAAAATGCTTCCACACTGCCGACATGTCAACGTAATTGTTCGGTAAAATGTCTTCGGTCTTTTGACTCATTAAAAAATGTTTCGGCCGATTAATTTCGGTGGCCGGACATTTGGTGCATCCCTACTGACTGTAACCGTGAGCTCCCGGTTGTCCATCTTTTGAGGCACTCTGAGATCTGAGTTGAGCAATTTGCAGAGATTCCCTTATCCTAATTGGGCACGCACAAAATATTCCTTTGTGTGAAGTCTGATTAATGACCTCAAGTGATGTCACCTGAGTCAGTGTCAGCTGGCGCGCTGCTTATACCTGCCACAGGATACATTAAGCCTCTTTCACACTACGCACTTTTACGACTCATTTGCCACCGAGCTCGCCGACTGTGATCGGGACAAATCATCGATCAATCGATGTACTCCTACTTAACAACGCATCAAAGAGTCTCGCTGACACATCTTTGTCTTTATAATGTTTATCTTTATATTAGTAAAGGACTCGTCATTTCCCGTGTCACTTTTCATGTGCGTTCTCTTGACAAAACGTGGTTTGGTCCTAATTTTTGCAGTGGTACCTCAGTGGAGTACTCCGTCAACACAAGGTCCAACTTATTCAACGTCTTTGAATCTTTTAACAACATCTTACGGCCTAATCATCTGAGGATAAGGTTGCTCAATTGTCATTTAATTTTCTTTTATTTAACCTTTGGCCTTTTGTTAGGCGCAACATGGAGATGATATGCTGTTATCACGTGTCGGTAACAATGCAAACCGGATCAGAGGGCAGATATTGTTTATTTTTTTATCTAAATCTAAATTAAGAAAGTAACTTTAGAGTATTTTGAGCGGACACAATGTATTTTGGGTTGAAACAGGACAGGGAGCGTCAGCCGGTGGGATATCGGTTCAGGAGAAAGACAGGGAGGGAAGAACAGGGGCATTATTGATTACTGAATCACTGTGATGGCCCAAAAATGGACAGCTCAATATCGAATGAATCATAGAGTATTTTCAGCTGCTCACAGGGCTCTGCGGTGCGAGATTTCACCTAGAAATAGATATGTGCGAATCGGAAAAGTTATTTACGAGCATGAGTTTGTTGTTGTTATATTTGTGTGTATACCGTCCCGGCTCACATCCTGAAAACAGCGCAGGGACGCTAAAAATACAAGGCAACAATCCAGTGACTTAACGTGGACAACACTGAAGTGACGTAAGGAGAAACAAACAAGAGGAAGGTCAAGTCTTCGGCTTGTGTTTCAGTTTATCAGCGCTTTAAATCAGCCTCTCCCAGGATCCTGTCTGCTCCACGCCTTTTACCTTTCACCTGCCCTCTGTCCTCGTCTGCCGCTGTCACGTCTCCCCTCAGGGTGATGACACACAGCTAATCTGAGCCCGACATCCCATTAACGGTCACAATAATATCTCAGTTACAACCACAGAGGCTCGTGTAGCCGCCGCGGGGTTTCTAATTCAAGAGAACAACTGGTATAAACTTCGGGGTGTAATGTTTAACAACAGAAGAAACGCTTCACTAAACCACACACATTTGTTCTGCACGCTTATCCACTAAGTTTTGTCTACTAGTGCAAGTAACAAGACTCATTTACAAGGAGTTGTAATGGCAGGTCTACACAGGAGGCATAACAGCCGTGTTGCTGTGTGGAGAATCTAGACGATCTTATGATGTGCAGCATGTCCATATTGACAAAGTTTTAACATTTGAATGTGTATGAACAACTTCAGCAGCTTAGAACGAGCTCAAGAAGGCGACCCGGTGGGATTTAAGAGGTTTTAGACACCTAAAGAACTTCTACAGAAACCAGACCAGGCATCTAACTGGGACTCTGCTCTTCCTTTAATAATATAAAACAGAAAAAAATGGCACGTGTAAATTACACTTAGTATTTTAAAAATGGAATAGAAAAACGTTTTGTGTGCACTAATCTTGTTTCTCAAGCAGAGATGTACAAATGAACTGCAAACCAACATAACCAATTTAACTAATCGACATTTCAGGTCCGTCATTTAGACAATGAGTCAGCCGCAGATTTTAATAAGGTGGAAA